TAAATTATCAAGGGCTCATGAGGGAGGGGGAGAGGGGTAAAAATTAGGTCCTGATGTCGGGGGCTTAAGTGGAGAGCATGTTTTGAGAATAACGATAGCAATGAATGTACAAATGTGCTTTACACAATTGATGTATGGATTGTGATAAGAGTTGTATGAGCCCCTAATAAAATGATTAAAAATATATATATTTGCCCTGATGGCAACTGAAGTTTGATTCGAAAGGCACCCGTACTTCCCAGCCAGGGTTCCCTTTGTCTTGGATCCACTCAGAACTGTGTTCCCTGGTCAGCGGTCAGGCCTCCGCTGAAGTGTTGCCCACTGTTCTGTGAAGTTGTGAACATTGCTTCTACATTTCTACAGGGGGTGATCTTTGCTCTCGTGCTGAGGAAAAATCCAATTTCAAGTATTTTATAAGTGCTTAAAATTTTTAAAAATGCACGTACTCAAAAGAACTAAAGAGGGAGAGGGAGGGGGGCTAGGAGGAAGGAAGGAAGATGCTGATGGGGGCTCTGACTTATTCTTCAACCATGCAATATTCTTAGTTTCTGAGGTGCATGTATCTATGGGGAGCCCCATATCCTGGGTAAGTATAGGCCTGGCTTCTAAATCCATGAGTCTGCATTTGAATTCTGACCAGTCACTACGTCATAAAGACAGAACCTGCAAAACAAGGATGACTGTTTCCACCACACCATTTCCACCACAACTATTGTTGTGGGAGCTAAAAGACATAATGCTCTAAAAAGGTGACACACCGGGCTTGGCAACCCATGGAGAAGTCACGAAATGATGACCATCTGGTTGTTTCCATTCTGCCTCGTTACCTGCCCCCAAAATAAAACCACTGTCAAAGGGTGCCAGAAATGCGAATGGTTCTTCAACCAAATTGTTTCTCCTGAAACTTCTCTGACTCTCAAAAGGAACTTCCTTGTCAAGCCAGAGAGCCTGATTTTTAAGTCAGTACATACCATCACTGGAACGGGTAATATTTCACGTGAAGACATTTAACTGCCGGTGTGTGGTTCTGTGTCGGGCTGTTAATC